CACTCACTCACTCACTCACTCACTCACTCACTCGGGCTGCTCGATTATGGCAAAAATCATAATCACGATTGTCTTGGTCAATAATTGATATCACAATTATTAAATAAGATTATTCATTGACTTTGAAAACAACAGTATCTTTTTGACTGTTGATTACCCTGAACGTATAATTCAACTGAAAAACCAATGCAAAAATTAATTAATTAAATGATAAATTTAAATAAATAATATCAAAATAATAAATACCAATAAACAAGATCAACAAACAAGCTACTAAACATATATAAATATGATAAATAAATATAAATTAGACTAAAATAAATTAGATCAAATATGTTGTANTTTGAACAGTATCTTTTGAACTGTTACCCTGAACGTATAATTCAACTGAAAAACCAATCCAATAAAATAAATAATATATTTAAATAAATAATATCAAAATAATATATAGCAATAAACAAGTTCAACAAATATTTTGGAGCGCACTTCGACAAGCTACTAAACATATATAAATATGATAAATAAATATAAATTAGACTAAAATAAATTAGATCAAATATGTTGTAGTGCACTGTCACAACCTACAGTAGCAAAGCAAACTTATATATTTTTTCGATTATATTGTTTTCGTAATTGTGGCAGGCCAAAATCGTAATTGCGATTAATTGCACAGCCCTAGCTGACATGCAGGTAGGCCATCCAGTTATTTTAGCCGGGCCGGCTAAAATGATTGGTCGTGCTTTTTTGCAGTACTACGGCTTCCACAGATGACGTTTTTTTATGGATTTTTTGTCAAAGCACTTAAGATATTCATTGCTATCGGGATGTTAAGAGCATTCCATGGAGCCGGTTTCTCAAACTTACCTACCCCACCTTTAACCATCCAAGTTACACAGGCAACAACACTAGAATAACGTGATTGTTAAAAAATCTATTGGAACAGTTAAAAAGATTATATTACCCATTTTAACAATGTAAATTAACTTTTCGAATGGCACACAAACAGTACATCACTTAGACACCATCACATATATACACAAATCACAAAAATTGCAGAAAATAGCCATAAACATCCTTAATTTTACAAACAAGCCTCACTAACAAAAGATACCCATGTTCCTAATAATTCAAGTACTGCATAATGAGGCGTTCAGATCGGTTTCCAGCCTAAACCAATGTAACTACACAATATTTACAGTTCACAGGCATTTATGCAAGAAAAGCATGCAAAACTAGGTGAGTCGAGGTTCATTCTTATCAATATAAAACTCAATTTCAGTGAGATCAGATTGTATTTATATGATGTTATTATCAAATAGATGAATCTACTAATAACTCAAGTTTTTGTTTAGAAACATTTAAAGAATTGAGTACTAATATAAAACTGTAGTGGGGACATTGGTAATATTATTATGTGACGTGTTGTTTTGAATGTATCATTATAAAAATACTAGGATATGAAATAATTGTTAATAGTTACAATAACAGTCCTACTTGGCACAGCCCTAAGCAAATTCAGATTGTCCTAGGGACTGATGCAACGTCCAAGTTAAAACATGTAATTAAAGTCTACAAATAAGTCAGTGTTGTAATGCGCTACAATATCCACATAATAATTGTTATCACTTAAATCCACCCTTTACTTATACGTAATAACTCAATTGGTATAATGGAACGGAGGCTATTGTATTTGAGCTTACAGTAAATTCAATAAAACATTAATACAATCCACTTGAAATTACAAAATAATATATTTTGTACAATAACAATTTATGTCAGTCCCTGACTTGACCACAGTTTGAGCTATAGTAGAGTACATTGACTCATCAGTGTCTTTAGCTTGGGAACCATATGTGACAGAAAACTGAACAATTGAAGAGGCCTCTACCAGCACTTTCCCTAGGTAAATTATCAGAGGTTTCTCGACAATCACCATCACGACATACAGCTAATAACTACCTGAAAAGCAGCTATGCATCGAGTCTCATACCATCTGCCTGTTGTCAAGTTCTAGAAAGTTCTAGGCCTCGTCCTTGCCTTGAGTTGAGTCATCAACTAGGGTGATGATAACATCTCATTGTGGCTAAAGTTGGTTAGCTCGCTAACAGCCTTATGTTGGATGAAACTCAGGAATGCGGGAGAAATTATAAGTAAGTAATCATGTAATGCAAAACACTTTGGGCAACGATGACATCACTGTCTATATCATCCACAAAGGGACTCTAAAGCCCTCCATCGTCGAGGTTAGCTAAAGCTCATTTTCATAGCAAACTGATAGCTAGCTGAGTGGCCCGGTAAAATGTTAGCTACGTTATCTGAATTTAGCCCGTATATCCAAGATTAACATTGCTTATTCATATCGTACAAACAAAGGCAAATACAATTAATTAAGAGTCCATTAATCAGTTTTAATCCACAAGCGTTGACTGGTGAACATTCACTGTGATAACGGTGCTTTAAGGCCATTTGGAAGCCGAGTTATCTGATATCTGATGGAGGCACATGAGTTAGCCTCAGTTAGCACAAAGCTAACTCAGGACGTAGGACTGACAGCAGCCTGACATGAAGCATGGCACCGCCGCTAAAACACAACGTTAGCTTCACAACAATCGGTCCAGCTAACAGCAGTAACAACAGTAACGGCGACACTGATTTTAACTGAAAACTCAGCTTTTTTCCTTTACCTTAACGTCGTCTTCATCGTCTTCGCCTTCCCATTTGTCAACCACTGCCGCCTTTTTATTCGGCTCCTCCGGCTCGAAGGTTTCAGCGTCTGTAAAAACCACAACATGATCTTCGTTAGTGCAATCCACATCTAACGGCTTAGTTTGACAATAACGGGTAAAGCGTGGGGTTTGTAAATCAACGACTGTGACAAGCGAATGATGAATAGTTAGCTATCCTTCATAACTTAAGTTGCTCACCCCAGTCCGCCATGTTGGCTGTGTTGGTTGTGTTTGACAGGCTCGCAGTCAGTCTGTGCGGCAGCCCGTTGGTTCACAAACAGCTCCCACCTTCTGGACGTCACTGATCCTGTGACCTGGCTGCTTCCCTGGGCTTCTTCAGGCGACTGGACACTGATATGGTAGGCCGGGTAATCACATTTTAAACAATTACATATAACCCATTTAAGTATTTTCGAATCAATCTCATTCTAGGTTTTTGTTTATTCAGAGTAACTGTATTCCTCCTCCGCAAAGTATAGATAGAGAAAACATTGTTATAATACTATTAAATAAAAAGGCATGCACATAATATTTGAAATACAATTATTAAAATCTACAGAAGTACACATTTAGGTAGATAAGTAGCAACAGTATTTATAGCATAAAATAAATGTATCTTGTAGTCGTAGATGACGTTTGGTATATCTACATTACATGTACATTCATAAATGTGATTTTTTTGGGGGGGAGTGGGAATTCGTTTTTTTATATTTTCATTAAAACAAATTAACTATATTAATAAGCAACATCATTTTGTATAATATTTGTAATCATTTTATATATTTACCAATGTATTAGTTTAATTTAAAGTATTAATGTTTGATCATTTGTATTCCTGCTTGGTTGTTACAGAAAACAGAAAAAACACACAAAAATGCCAAACAATGCTGATAAAGTGTGTTATGGTATTTTTTTTAAATCAACATAATATGAATCAACAATTTCCGATTTAATTCAAATTATTAGATAATAAATACAAAATAATTAGCTAGTAAGTAGGTCAAATTTGTAATCATAATTTTAGTAAAAAAAGTCAGGAACTTGATCAACTATCTCGTAATGTTGATTTTAATACATTGTCCATAATTGTTTTTATTTAACCTGCCATCTTATAATGTTAATTAAAAAAGTAAAAATAAACATACTTGTATATTATTTTACATAATTTATATATTAATTACAAAGTTTAACTACAGATGATAGTGATCATTTATTTGTTTCTGATAAGCTAAGCAGTCATACTCAAATATCACAGCAATGAGGCTGCGTAAATGAAACCAGGGTTACATCCTTAACTGTCGATCTGGGAAGTTAAAATGAGTGGTCTAAACACACTTGCTTGTGTGCATCACTTGTGATAATGATTTCTGTGTAAAGTAATACAACATTTTAACCAGAGCTTTGTACATCTGGACTCTTGCAGGCCAGAGTTGCTGAGTTGCAGAGTGAACAAACTTAAAATGAAAAGGATGGATAATAGAGATATTCCCAGTTTTATTTAGCAAAAGTATGAGATGTTGTGTTGATGTGGATGTGAGATATTACTGAGAATTGTGAGAAGATACATTTCTACCCTTTGTAATTCCACTTTGATGAATGTATTAAGAAATAAAAAGAGTCAATCAGAGGCAGATTGGTTCATAATTTAAGACTGTATTTATCACACCAGAAAGTGTGCACAACAATACAAAACTCACAGCAAAGTAAGACTGACAAGTTCACCGAAACTAGTAGAATGAAGTCTCTTTGAACATACCTGTTATCTCATCATAACACACAATCGATATATAAATATAGCAAACATAACAACTCTTACTCTGAGAAAAATAATATATTATTTCACAAAAATATATAACTTTGTAGGTGTATTTAAATATTTTAAGTGTCTTGGTTGTTTTTCTGGGTAGTGCATCACATTAGAAGATACTTTGAAGTGGAGCATAGAGGTTTATAAAATAAATAAATGAATAAATAATCCAAGTGTAATGAAAAAAATTGTCAATGTTGGTCGATAGATATGCTGTTTATAATGTATATTAATATGTACTGTGTTTTGTTCTAATTAAACCAATTCCTTCAGTGCCGAATGTTGATATGTAAATATAAGTGAAAGATGCACAAAACAAATAACATTGTCATTACACAATATAAATCCTGAAGTGCTGCTTATTTCAACGAGGTATTGCATAGATAATTGAGAATATTGGTTATGTGGGTGAGGAGTTGTTTCCTGATCCAGCAGGGGTGAGTGGGGTCATGTGCCGGGGCAGAGGAGGGTGGGGCAGGTCAGGACGATGAGCAGCATCAGCAGTCCCAGAGAGAGACACAGAGGACTGTGGCCCAGTGCCAGCGCCCCTGACTTCCCTGCAGGAACACAGTGAAACCAATACCATCATAGAGCCATGCAATATAAATGATACGTGTGGGTATTCTGCTTTTGTATGTCGTAACAAAAAACACTGTGAAAGAAATTTCCCCTCCAAAAAGAGCCAATTAGCATTTATGTTGTTCGCTATTACTCTCGTGGTGATATTTGTTTTGATTGTATATTATACTAAACTATTATTAGTCTATCAAACAGTAAGTTGTATGTAATTGTGAGGTAGTTGAATCTCTTATAAATCCCCCAATTGTGTTTTACTTTGTCCCATTTCCACACTTCTTTCTACTCCTAACTAGGATTTTGTATACACACATGATCAATCAAAATTGAGGATATTATATTTAGGAGCTATTTAAATCAACAAAATGTAGATGATGTGAGACAGCTCCAGGATGACCTCAGACAACGAAACAATACAATTAAATATTAGATATTTGGAAATACATTTTCTTTGCTGTTGGACTAAGTTTATTTTGGAAATATTTAAATAAAGTTTGAGTGATGTCTGTCAGTGGAAATCTAATATGATTTACATTCAGTGCAACCATTAGTACATCTCTGTTATACTAACCTCAAAGATACAATATTATGAACATTAGTATATAGCTTTATATATCTTGATTAATAATTCATAATAATATGGAATTGCGACATAACTTCGCTTGGAGCTAAACAAAATAATTCAGCTTTCGAAAAAAATACCCTTCTTTACTGTCATCAGTGAAACAAGAGTTTTCTGGGTTTTAGTGGTTTACCTCTGAAGTCTACAGGCCTGTCCTCCCACGGTGTCAGCACCAGAGCCAGAGCGGTCCTCTGAACGTCGGACAGAGCAGAGAGCTGCTCCTCAGTCACTGCAGACGCCTGCTCATAGGAGAACATGCCGATCTGTCTCTGGTGAAACACCACCTTTTGGAAATGAAAAACAGACAAATAGACACAAAAAAAGAAAACAAGACAATATAGGACCTTTTAGAATATATTCACCATGAAATGTAATTATGCTGTGAATATTGTTTACATTAAATGTCGACTTACAGCAAACTTATCAGGTGGTATCATTGTGACAGCTGCAGGTGTCATTCCTTCTATTTGCTCTTTCACCAAAGCTGACATAGCCATGTCTGGGAGACCAGCTGTAAAAAAAGGTTGCCTGTGTCAAAAATATTGGGATCCAGTAAAAAGAAACTCAATTTACACAATTTAGAATTAACACATTTTTCCTTGTATAATTATATTTAGTACAGCTGTCCACAATGCAACTAGTTACAGAATAACCATGAAACATTTTTGAAATATTGTGGGTAAAATCCTTATAGTGAAGGCATAATACCTGCCAGAACTCCTATCTCAATGAAGATATCAGTTCCCCACGCGCTTATGGGTCCAAAGGCCAGACTGTGAGCGAGCAGCCCAACAAGAGCCAGCAGCTGCTCCTCAGAGCAGGAGAGCCTCAGCTGACCCAGCCAGAGCACCGCCTTACTGCAGCCACCCGGGGGAGACACAGCACGGGAAGTGGAGGAGGGAGGAGAAATTACTACTACTGAATAATGTCAGCTGCTGAGTTATTCTCAAAAATAAGGCATCAAAAAGAGCCTGTTTTATATCTGCTCACCTGAACTCCACAGCGTTGAAAGAATTCATCTCTGTGGTTTTAGCTCCACACACAATGTATCCCATAGCCACCAGTGTGCTGGAGTCAAGCTGGCTCGGACTTTGTTTGGTGGAGTTTAACACAGTGGCAAACAGTGCAGAAAGCTGGGATGAAAAAAACCAGAATCATGACATTAAACACACTAAATCATCACAGTTGTTCAGTCCGGCATAATGCTGTCTAATACAGCAGTCCAACTTTAATGAAGATATTGTTTATCATTTTTTTAGACCTTTCTAAAGGAAACAACTTTCAGGTCTTTTTTTGTATTTCTTTGCCCCCTTGTCATTCATAACAATTGGTGGTGGGCACTTCAACAACATTCAAGTACCAAAATACTGAATGTATTAGTTGTTCATTTACTTATATGACAGATTTATTTTTATATCAAACATGTCTAAAATGAAAGTTTGTGTGGTTTCTCACTAAACTGCTGTACACCTGGAGTTTAATCCTGGTGAATTAATATAAAACATAAAACAAACCCATCCAAATGGGCTCAACTTTGTTGTCCACTATGATTTGACATTGGATTCTTAGTTGTAATAGATTAATGTACATTTTACACACTATGCTCTCAGGAAATAATATTTGTAAGGTAATATAATATAAAAAGAATAAAAAAGGGACACACTGGTATCAACTTTGACCAAATTTGTTCAGAACTTAGTGCAAGCGGTATAGTACATTTGTGTGATTTGTTAACTTTTACACCTGCAGCAGCTACCTGTCTGTTGCTCCAGGCGCTGACAGACCCCAGAGCAGCGATGCTTGTCCGCTCCAACAGTCGGAGCCTGCTCAGCTCCTCCAGTGTCAGCTCTATCGTTATTCCTCCAAGCTGAGAGATCACAGACTGGGAGAAGGATGAAACCGGGCCGTGTATCTGCACACACCCAGTAAAGACAGCACAGACACTAAGTGTGTTAATATCTGGACTGAGGAAGGGAAACAGTCTCATATCAAACAGATCTGAGAGGTTCTTAGACCGACTGAGGAATACTTCAGATCTCACCTGTTTGACTCTCTTGAGCACCTGGCTGCGCTGGTAGGATGCGAGAAACGTGTCCTGACCCATCAGCTCCAGGCAGTTGGAGAAGGCCGATGGGGACATGCTGGTCAGACTATTGGAGGTCCAGACAGAGGGAGATGTTGTATGCAGAATCTCACAAGTAGGAACCATAGGAGTCGCTGGTTAAGACACAGACACAAATATCTGATCAGGAGATGCTGTTGACATACAACACATAACTATATAAAGCATATGAAATGGAAACAAAAGTAAAGAATAGGAACCTTTGTTGTACTTATTGTATGAATTTCCAATAATTTATTCAAACCAAAAAACACTACAATTTTCTTGAACAATAATTGGCTTGCCATACATTCAGGGAATTGTATGACATTCAATGGTGCATCCTCACAATGCTTGTTCTGGTCATTGTGTTAAAACTTTTGTTACTATTAGTGTGTTTTTCAGAATTTGAACAGATTAAAAACAGTTATATGAAATGTAATAAGTCAGCATTAAAGGTGCTTTGAATCTCACTGTTTCAAGTCCTTGAGCTAAGCTCAGACTTTTCAACAGACAGACACCAGAGTGATATCGAATTTCCAGCCTAACACTAGGAAAAAGCCATAATGTCAAACTCTTTTTTCAAAGACAGTCTGTTTGTTAAAAGCTATCCTGTTACTGCCTTGGTTGCAGAAGCTGAAATAGGCATTATTGCCCAAAATGTTAAACTGTTTCTTTGCTGACTGACTATTAGACTGAGATGTTAGGAAACAAAGAGATGCTCACGTGAATCAGGATTTATTTTGAGAAAGCCCAGGAAAAACTGTAGAACAAATTGTTGCTTCTCAAAGAATCTCTTCCTCTCGTTCTCGTTGAAACAGTCCATCCCCACATCCCCACGTTCCCACTGACGCTGGCTCATGAACAGCTTCTCTATCCGGCCCACTGTCATCACCGCCTGGGGGAACACAAACATCAACACTTACGGACAAACAATGAATGTTTAGCTGAAACTGGGAACTTCACAACCTGATCCTGACACTTACGGGAAAAGTGACACCTGAGAGATTTGTTGGCAGCCTTTGTTGGTCTTACACGCCATGGATTAAGTAACAATCACTACGCCTCACTTTAGATTTCTGCACGTTGACTAAATCCGTAACAGGAACTAGTTTTGCAATTTCCTTAATCTCAGGAGCAAACTGTCAGTCAATCTCAGAAGTAATGAAGATGTTATACCAAACAAATAGAAAACCCCGCAGTAAACTCACCAGGGAAATCTCCTGCAGTTTTTTTTCAGGCAGGAAGAATAGAAACCGGTCCACTTGGCTGAGTGTTGTCTGGTTCCAGTTGTTGACCGGGCTGTGAGAAAACAGAAGACCAATTTTTCATAAAACTAGTAGAGCATTTGTCATATAAAACATTCTCCATATAATTCTGATTATTTACATATGTTTCTCCTTAATTGTTAATGTACATAGTTCACTGTATAAGTTAAGGAATCCCAAAAACACTCTTTAGTGGAAAGTCATCATACATTATAAGGAGGCTGATTTCTTAAGATGCATTGGAAAGTTTCTTGACTAATTCAGTTCTCATAATGGCAAAATATCATTATGCATAAAGCCATGTTCACAAAAACAGCCATCCTCTTCTATGCTTCTTATAGCAAATTAAATATTCACTGAAAATTCAAAAGCTGCAGACAAACTGTTAAACTTATGAAGTTAGGTTATGTGTTTAATCTTCCTCTGATTACGCTTCATATTTTTAAAAGTGAATGTATATGGAGTCATCAGAAATGCGCCAAGGATATGTAATGGCATGTTTATGCTACCATGTGGTTCAAAAGTTCACTGTTGAATTAAAGCATAGAGAATCCAATTCCAACAAATATAGTTTCAGTTATAGGTGGTATCGGACGTTACCCGAAGGCAGCAGGTTCTTGCAGGATACGAGCCATGATGTCCATCTTGCTGCTGCTGTAGCAGAGACGTTGGAGGAAATCCAGGTTCTCGATGAAGAAGCTGCGGTCCAGCTGAATCAACACCTCATCCACCACAAACGGAGCCATAATGCCCAGGGAACTAAACTCCTCCTCAGTGAACACCCCTGTGTACATGCCCTGCAGAGAAAGGGTCCCCAAAACGCTGATCACAAAGCAAATATGACACTCTCTTCACATATGAACATCTACCATCTACTTCTTGTTTATTTGCCTTTGTTATATCTTTTTTTCAAAGAAAAGGAATCAGTATACTGACACGGTTTGGCTCTACTGACCATCCTCTGCACCATTTTGTCCACCAGCAGGTATTGTTTTGTTCTGGAGAGCAACAGGAAGTGACGAGGTTCCTGGACAATTATTTTCCTCAGAGTCTCCATCATATCTGTGGGAAACTTCTTAATGGTGCTAACCCTGTCAAATAAAAATTACAAAAATTAGTTTTATTTTATAGTAAAAAGATTGAACATCTAATATTTATCCAAATGGAGCGAGTGGCCTTTTACCTTTAATGTTATTGTAGTAAACGTTACTCTATGTGTTCATATTTAATAGCTCATGATATGTGCACAAGGTTTTTCCATATATCTCCTGCAACATAGGTTTTTGACATATAATTCTTAATGATGAGATGAACTTTTCCTCAATAATGTTTTAAAGTATCTGATAATTATGCTAGCACATTAAAAGTACAGTGATCATTGTCAATTTTTGACTTACGGCATGGAAAGGGCAATCTCAACCCCGAGATCTTTGAGCAGCTCAGAGAAGAACTCAAACTGGTACAGCTCCTCGATCACACACTTTTTCTGTCCAGAAGATGAAGGACAGAGGAGAAAGAACATCATGTCTCTTGTATTTATAGTAAACTATTTATTTTAATTACATCATATTTATTATAGATAGGTAGATAGAGTGGCATCAATCTAACAGGTAAGTTTACCAGGGAGGTGTGAAGAAGACCAGGCTGCTGTCTGAGGGAGGTTAGGATTTTTCTCACTGAAGAGGGTGAGGAATCAGCTCGAAAACGTTCCTGTAAGACCTTACAGCTCACACCCTGGCCCACTGTTCCCAGGCTCCTGATTACATAGAGGTTAGTGTCAATATCTTTCATGTATTTGTTACATACACTGTACTGCAAAAACCATCAAAGTTAAAAGACAGAGAGAATTTGCTGCCAATAGTATCTATATAATTTGGACATAGACTAGAAGTTGGCGCAGAGAAAATAGTATGTACACATTTATCACAGAACTTTACTTACAGAAAATCTTGTTTGATTACGTTTGGTCTAGTATCAAGCACTTCTTTAAAAATTGCTTTAGCCTGGGGAGAAAATGGAGAAAACGTTATTTTGCAACAGGTTTTTTTCTGGGCTGCTTCTTCCCCAGTTTAAAGGATCATGGATATCTGATATGAAGACAGTTTTTGTCTGAGTTGTTTGTATTCACAGGGACGTCCATTCATGTCAGTGAAGATGTGTTTGAGTCTGCCTCTCCGCTCAATTATTAAGCAGTTAATGAAGATACTGTCATATACACCTAATCATGTCACACAGAGGAAGCATGTTTAATCAGAGGAAGCAGGAAGAGATCACAATGTTAAAGTCACAGCCTCGGGTTATATGTCAAGCAAGCTTTTTGGAACTGACAAAACTCTCGATAGCCTATTCCAACATGATTCCAACGTGGGGCAAAACATCTCATTGAATTACTTTCTAATAATTATATCTACACTTTCTAAAAATGGTTTGCACAAATGTTACATAACTTCTCATAATTTACATTATTCAAAAATCTGAAAAGCAGAGGTCAGTTAAGAAAACGTTTAGAAATATATTGGGATATTCTGAAACCATTCATTTTATTGCTTAAAACTAACTGACTTTGTTTCTGTTGAGGCTTCTCTGATATTTGTCCAAACAAAACAACTTGACAAATGAAAATAACTGGAACCTAAGATTGAACCTCTCTGCATGCCCTTCTGTGATGATAACTCATGAGATGGGAGCGAATGTATTAGGAGATACAGAGCAAACAGGTTGAATACAATCTACAACACTAGATTGGCTGTGTGATACCTGCTGTGTGTTCCAGGGTTTGGAGGATGCGGTGGTGAGGTTGTTCACAAGCAGACGAGTCCTTGGCATGACGCTGAGCAGGGGCGTGCAATAGAGCAACGGCTCCACATCATTCTGCCAACCCACTACTTCTGGGAAGCCCTGGTGACAACAGAGGTGAGAAAACACAAGGACAAGTGTTTCAGCCGTCCAATAATACAGATAAATACCCACACAACTCCAAAAGACTTAAAGAAATATGAAATCTACCCATAGAGAGAAAAGGTGAGATTTTTCCATACAGTTCTTCAAGTCAAGGATCTAAGTGTGTGTGTGTGTGTGTGTGTGTGTGTGTGTGTGTGTGTGTGTGCGTGCGTGCGTGCGTGCGTGCGTGCGTGCGTGCGTGCGTGCGTGCGTGCGTGCAATGTACCCATAGTTTTGTGGAGATAGCATTAGCCTGTGGCGGGCTTAGGCCTGGTGTGTGTTGGGCCATATCTGGGAGGGAAGTCAGCAGCTTGTCCGAGGTAAGAGTCAAGAAGGTCTCTGTCTTTATTCCCACAATGAGCGAGCCGAGCTTCTGCAGCTGGCCGGGATCGGTGAGCTGGGCGGAGGGGAGGCAGGTGTTAGGCTCAGGGTGCAGAAATACAGAGAGTATCTCTATACTAAACTCACATTGTGATGGGTTTATAAAATAACTCACACTTGTCATTGAAGACAACTTCTCCACAATTATGGAAGCCTGAAAAACATACAGAATGACAGCAAATGAATACAAATAAAATACTTTAGCACCTTAGTATGTCGGATGATTTGTATGTAATAACTTGAGCTCTGAACACAGTCCTTCCCATTCATTCCCTATTAACTAGAATAATGGAACTTTATGTTTGCTTCATGATGTATCTGTAGGTTCGAAGAGGTTTATCCTCAGAGGACACCTTATGACGTGCAAAAGCAGCTGAGAGGCGGAGGTCAAAGTAAAAGGCTCCAGTTCAGTTGATAGCTGAGGTTGAAGTTAAGCCTAGGTCTTTGTCTCATGAGCTTCAGGGGTCAGTTTGCTGCAGACCGACTGCCTGTCAGCTGTTCCTCAAACCTACAAGCCCCACCAGCTGCCAGGAAACCCAACCAAGTACAACAAATAGGGGCTGACGCAGTGAAAGAAACTCGCTAAACCCCTGATATTCCTTTTACACAAAAGAAAACTGTGTATGTTAAATGGCAATAGAAATTGAGCGATAGAAGATGATTGCTGCATCTTCCTCTTTACATTACAGGTTGAGTATGCTCCCCTACCTGAGCAGGGCTGAATGGAACAGAGCTGAGGGCGGGGAGGGCAGAGAGCAGCTGTGAGGGAGTGACGCCCTGCAGGAAGGTCACACCCAGCGAGGGCAGGAGGTGGCTGAGCTCTGCCAGGTGGTCAGGACTGAGCAGGGAGGGGATCTTTAGTTCTGCACTGTTCAGTAACACACTGGAAACCTGAAAGTTAGGTTTAGAACAAGCACACAGACAGAGTCAGATATGATATGAATACTCCTTTGAATGAAAACACACATATTAAAATATAAAAAAAGAAAACACAAAGTAACTTCTCTGTTCCTACCAGATGGCTGGGCAGACCTATACTGTCACGTGTGCAGTTCATCACTATGTCCCGGATGACACTGAAGGCCTCAGTTTCTTTGTATACAAGGAGGTCCTCAGGGTCTGCCATGCATGACAGATTACCAAGCCTAAAAGAGAAACAACGTTTTATTGACAACACACCTGGGAGCAGTTGTGAATATTCCCTTTTAAAAAGTATATAAATATACACATCTTGTATACAAATTGTTCATTCATAGTTGCCCAAAGCAAATCTGACAATAGTATATCTGTAAGATAAAAGCTAGAGACAGAGCCGTATTACTGGTACACTAGTTTACATATATGCATAAGTTGTTTCTGCGTTGGTTTCTAGATTTATATATCTTTTTTATATTTTAAATTACACTTCAATTCAAAACACTACAATTTCTGTAGTGAAATTCCACTATAGATTGTGCAAAACAGGAAACTTTCTCTTTTCTTTTATGCAGTAATTTGGTCACTTAATCAAAAATAAATGACTACTTTAAATAGTTTACATATATAAAGTCATATAAGATTTTGTTATAATTGACCATACTAACAGAAAGTCACGACTCAAATGTATGAATACACGTTAAGTGTAAATTACATTAAGGATATTATTATTATAAGTTGTATTGATGTAACTTTATCTAACTATGGAAGCAACATACTTGACGGATTATTACTTTACACTTATACTAACAAGTGTCAAATGAACCTGAACAAATTAATCAAACTACATGTAAATGTGTTTTGCCAGGTTACACCAGGTGATCTATGTCTAAGAACAGTTGACATGGACAGAAAGGTTGAAGGTGCCTTCCTTCAGTCATTCCTTACCTGATAAAATCCTGAGCCGTCAGATTCCTGTAGGTGCCGATGACTTTGTGAGCTATGAACTCCTGCTTTAGAGAAGTGAGGGGGTTTCTCTGCAACACATCCAGCCCGTCCAACAGCTGCAGAGAAACACGATGACAGAACTCTGTGTCTGAACATATGACATTTTAAACTTTTTGAAATGTGAGGAAATATTATTAGAGAAAAAATTATTTAGATGTCTTCAAACCTATACAGAACAGAACCATGATTCATTCAAAAGAATCATTTCACATTTTCCAAAAATGAACTTTTTTGCTCTGTTGGGTGTAAAATACAAAGCATTAAGTAAATGATGCAGCTATTCCACTTCGAACAACGTATAGAACCAATATTTAGTAATGTTCTAAACATCTTAATGTGGAAATGTGATATTTGTATATCATTAAAACCTTTGAAATTCATGGTTGAGTGCTGAAAGGTCAGTAACCCCTTTTTCTTTGGGTCATTGGTAATTCAAGTGTTCCTATCTTTACTTATTGAACACTAGCTGGGAGCATATGACACGCATTGACAGAGAAAGAAGAGTCTGTCTTTGCTTTCCTGTGAGCAGTTTGTGACTGCTCTGCTCTGCCCGAGGATAAAGCAGCTGACGGAGTGCCAGCTGCTCGGGTTTCTCAGCCAGGTGTCAGGGCTCAGAGGCTGTTACCTGAGCAGAGGAGAGGTGTTGGAAGTTGTGGAAGGGCAGGTAGGCAATCAGGTTTCCGGTGTCCTTGATCAGTGACTGATGACTTCTGATAATGTAAGAGACAGGCATAACTTTGCTGTACCACGAGCCAAAGGCCTGCCGCTGGTCCAGAGTCATGGTCTTCAAGTCTCTGTTAATGGTCTCCCTCCTAGAAAAAAAAAATATTAATACGATTTTTATTTTGTTTTAAAGGAACTGTTTTATTGAATATCGCATTGCATTTAAGCAATGTAAACAAAGTGAGAGGTTGGGTAACACATATTCAACTCAAATGGGCACAAATATTGAAGAAAACATTTTGGTGAATTCACTTCAATTGGTTTTTGATACGAGTTAGTTGAGATGGTTGATAAATACACTTTTTGTTAAATTCAGCGAATATCTAATCATGGTTGTTTGTGTAATCAGCAAGAGGTTCATGCTTGTGTACAATACAGAGGGAAGGAGGAATATATTTGTTTTTGAATTTGGATGGACAAATCTCAAGAAAGTATAGTCAGAGGAAATAAACTGGGCGATATTTAAAAAAACTCTACAGAGGTGCAAACAGATACCATGACTCTGTCTAAAGGAAGAAAAGGTCTCTGATTTGCAATAGCACGTAATATCTTGTTTGTGTACTGGATTTTATGGTGCGAATTGTATGACGGGCTGTTTTCTTCTTAATTTACCAGGCTTAATGCTAAGCTATAATTGACTTGCCTCTGGCAGCTACATAATTACCATACATATTGTCATAGTGGTTTCATCAATGGACACTTGTTAGGTCCTTCTATGAAGAAAATAAACAATAAGTGCATGTTTGACTATCTTTAATTGTACTGTCTAGAGACAAAACTTGAGATTAATTTGGTCTTGAGTATACAACTACATTTCTTTTTGTTCTGTCTTTTAATGTCTTATCTCTTTGGAGATTGAAATCTAGCCAGTGAAACCAGTTTCCTTTACTTTCTATGTATTATGCATGGTCCTGGCACCTCAAGGTGCAATGACACGTCTCTTTTTTCGCAGAAGCCTGACACTAGTGCTGTGTTGAGAGGGAAGCATAATGTGTGTAGGTGAGATTGCAGGATTGTGCGACATTGGTAATAAATCATGGTGTTCATTGCATACTCTTGGCAGATGATAAACTCAGTTCTGATTCCCATCAAACATAAACAGCACCACAAATTAACTTCTAAGAAGCCAAGGAAACAATCATCATTCACATACCAGAGACAAAGAGAACAAAACTGCTTAGAATAAGTAAAACAATATTGAGATGATTACAAATTAGTATTTGTTCATTCTAAATGATTAGTTGACACTATGACTTACACATTGATGTTGTTCTGCAGTGAGGGCAAAGCTTGGATGTCAGCTGGGCTCGCTGCAGCAAGCAGGGCGGCCAGATCCGGGAACAGACTGCCGTCTTTAACCAGGTGGGTCTGGAACAGCACTGAGACCATGGTGGACAGGTACCTTTTTGGCAACTAGCAAATAAAAGTAAATACCAGTTCTGTGTCAGCTGGAATGTGCAACTGTATACTGTGTAATAACTAAGAATTAAGAAGAAGAAATAATGTAAGGAACAGAAAATGTTCTAGTAGGTTTCACATTGTTGTGTAATGGTGTTTTTACCAGCAGTGTATCCTTGTTTCTGTTGTAGTACCGGAGGATCAGTCTGACGGTAGTGATGTGAGCTGAACTGAGCACTGAGCTCAGGCTGCTCAGAGGGATACTGAAATACTCCTGGATACATAAAACGTGAATAATTAGGAATATAAACACATGTGCATGCATACAATAAGGATCTACAGCCGTGCTGGCAGCTGTGCAAGGCCGGACTTGGGCACAGTTGTACTTTGAGCTAAAAGCAAATGTCAGCATACTTACATGCACACAACAAGGATGCTAACTACTTATGCTGAGTAAGTATAATATTTACCCTGTTGACCATTTTTACGTTACCACGTAAGCAATCAATTTTAGGCGAAGGATGGGAATGTAACTAGTTTTGCAGGTACTTGAACATTAACCAAAGTTTGAGGCAGATTGAAGTTTTGAAATAATAATAATAATGCCAGAGGAAAAGACAGAGAGCCATATTAGTGAATAGGATACATCATTTGAGGAACATGGATTTCTGCAAATAATTTGAGCTGAAACATTGGGTAAATGTTCAGGGTTCAGGATTTCACAGGGCAAGTTAATACTTTGACCTTCTGGTAGCTCTAGAGGAATAATCAGGGGATCAGCAAAGTCATTAGGATTCATCCTCTTGGGATCATGCATGTCTGGACAGAATTTAATTGAAATCCATCCAATAAGTGTTAAGATATTTAAGTCAGATCAAAGCTCCTGACAGAATGACTCTGCCATCCCTAGCCCTGCAGCTAGCATATCTCAAAACTCACATTAACATTTAAGTTTGGTATAATTCACCTTAATGACGAGCAATTCATTACTGCTCACGTCCCTTGCGGTCTGCATCAGGCTGGTTAAGACTGTCTACAAAATAGAAACAAAAACACTATTAACAGGGGGGTTAATGTCACCACATAATCTGGTAGGCTGTTTTAACTCATTATTTGTCAAATCAAAGGTGTCAATCTGTAGAGATTACACCCAGAGGAAGAGATTCATTATGTCTGTATGGATGACAGGAGGACTAACTGTACGCCAGCCTGTACACTGGAGGTCATACAGTGACACGAATGGTAACTGATATGTTTGAGGATTACATAAACCATAAAGTCAATGACATTGTTCTACTGAGTAGCTGATTGACTCTTTATGAATAACATGTGAGGGAGAAACTCAATGCTCTGACTAACCAACAGAATACATTTCTAAGAAAGCACAATCAAACTACATACCCCAAAGCACTGCAGCAACACCCTCTTTTTGTCGAAGTTTGTCTCCCTCTCCAGATAGTGACCTACAGACGTTAACACACTCAGTCGTATGTTCTTGTTGACGTACAGCGAGGTGTTCTGGACTTCCTCAAGTGCCAACAGTATCACCACTGCAGTGCTGACCGCCTGCTCCAGCACTGTGGCCACAGGTGGAGTCATCAGCCCCTCCACCCTGTACCTCAGACTCTCCACCCAGCAGCGCAGCATCATCTGCAGGGCCATTTTCTGGCTGGCCCCCGGCTGGCAGGCGGAGGTGAAGTCAGCAGAGCAGCTCCAGTTGAACTGACTCACCAGGCTTTTGGCCAGGCAAAAAGTAGGCGGTGCGGTGGTGCTGCTGTTATTCTTAGGAGTGGTGTAGTTGGTGTAGGTGATACACATTCTGCCCACCCATACACTAGATGGCTCCCGGGACAGCAAAAAGAGAAGACCAGCATTAGGGCAGATGGAGGAGACAAAGCTGGTCTGGTCCTGCTCCCAGCAGAGAGTCAGGAGCGCTGCGTCTGGAAGGGACGTGCTCCAGCTGGCGTACAGGCACTGCTCTGCAGGCTTGAACCCAGGCAGGACTGTTCCTGGAGCTATCCCTGTTACTGAATGGTTGGCACAGTGCTGTATTAACCAGGTGTTGTCCTGGTTGGCCAACAGGTTCTGGAGTATCGTGGCGTTGGTGCAGACTTTGGACGTGAAGTTAAGTTTGTCGATCTCAGCGCAGAGAGCTAGCACAGTCATGTCCACGATGATGGGACGGGTCCACTCAGAGTACCTGCACATCTAAAGGAAAGATTAGGGTGGATGCAAGATCAGAATACCAAGTCTGCACCACTGAGTTGATTTAAATTAACCTTTACACTTCACATGTGTCACATTATTTCACATAGTTTCACCTTTTGCAGATGAAAAACATACATTTTGTTTGCATATTAAAGCCTCTTCTACTTTTCAGGACAGTGTGCTGGCAATATGAAATGGGACTTACTAACATTTTCTTTATTTTGTGCATGAAAGTTGATTAGACTATGGATATACAAATAGACTCAGGTCTCATAGGTAAGATACACACCTGTGGACACACTGTAATTTCCTCCATTTCCTTTATGTCTGTGCAGGATGATGTAAGCCATTGGTTTTGAAAGTTTTTTAACAGCTTTTTCAACACAGACGCCTTGCAGCAGACATTCTCTCGAAAAGCAAGCTGGTCATGCTGCCAACAGAGGCCGACTACTGAATCATCCACCTCCCGCTCTCCCCAGGTCTGGTATTCGCACCAGCCAACGATGTCGAAGATCTCATTCGGCTCGGTGGGTAGAACGGCGAGAGATGAGTTGCAGTGAGCTTCAAGCCAGGCATTCTCTTTATTGCGCAGGAGGCTGTTCAGAAACGTTTTGTTAGAGCAAACCTCTCTGGTGAAAGCAATGTTATCTTGGAGGATGCACTGCGACAAAACGTCAATGGTGATCTGCATCACATCATGCCACTCTGAGTAACGACAAGAATCTAATATCAATGGACCCATCTCTGGGAATTGTGATGCAGGGGGCAGGCTTGTGCAGTTAGGCATGAACGGTCCATTGTCAGGGTTGGAGAATAGAAACATGAAGAATCCAGTGTGCTCACAGATGATTTGGGTCAGCCTGAACCGGTCCAAGCTAAAGCAGAACTCCAGTAAGGGCGGGTCCACCAAGACTGAGGACTGCTCGATCCAACTCTCATAGACGCAGAACTGACTCACCAAGTACCCAGGCTCTGCAGAGGAGTTGGCACAGTATCCATACAGCCAGAAGTTCATCTTGTCTAAGAGCAGCTTCCTCATCAACAAAGCATTGTTACACACCTGCTTCACAAACACCTCACGTTCGTTATCGCTGCACAGGGACACCAGGACAGCGTCCACCATCCCAGTATCCAACCAGTTGTCAAAGTTGCAGGCGAGCAATTTGAGGTTGGAGGCATCTCTGACTACTCGATGAGGTGCAGATGGAGAAGGAAGGGCAGTCTCAGAGGGAGGGGTGGCGGCAGGGGGAGGCTGGGCGTCCCCAAAGCTGCAGTCCGATGACCGGCTGAGAAGTGGAGATGCCAGTGTTTGAATAACATAACATGTGTTGCTCCACACCTGCTCTATCTGGGTAGGGCTGAGGGAGCTTAGCGCCTGACAAAATGTGAGCACAGATGTGGATCCTGCTCTGGACCCCGTGAGGATGTTGGCACACAGCGTGTCGTTGAGCCTGGCCAGGTTGTGGCGATCACATTTTAACAGGATTTCCTGGTTGTTATTGATGTTGTCGTTTGTCTCTGAGGCGCTGCGTTGGAAGGAGACGCTGGGAGGGTTCTGGCACTCTGATCCTGGATATGTGCACAGAGACTGCTCTGGAGCCAGAAAGATTTCCATGAGGATGTCAATGATGGAGGTACCGAAGGACCAGGTCACATTGTTGCTTATTCCCCTAAAAAAGAAAACTGAAACTTAAGAATTTATACTGATTCTTTCCAAACAAGATTTTCTAAATTGAATACAGGTAGCTACTTTGGCTTATATGTGTAACCCACTCAAATAATGCAGTGAGTTTTAGACCCTGTAATAAACAGCAGCTCCCACTTGGGGCAGTGCTGGGGCAGCAGAGTCTGCATATGAGGGAGGAGAGGAAGAGCAGGCCAGGTGTGGTTGTTAATGAGGCTCAATGAGTGGCAGCTGAGTGTGGGCCCTGTGTGTGTGTAAGACTGTGGGCAGTGTAAGAATTGTTTGAGAATGTGCTTTTTTGATGCTGCGGGGAACCAGGAACTAGCAGAACCGACGAACGTTTTTGGAGCTGCAGTTTTTGTCTTTTCCTCACCAGAGAAAGGATTATAAAGGATTCCTCTCACCAGAAGGAGGACTGATAGTCATTGGATTGCTAGAGGGAAGCTGCAGACTACCCGGGTTCGATTATTGTTGTTTTGTCCATGATAGCAGATTGGGTATCACTGGGGTGGATGAGGGGTTTGTGAAAGTGTTGTATGAATGATTAATAAAATGCCAGCTATATTAATTTGATATTGTTTTTTCTATTTATATTATCTTCTACTCCTCATTGAAAGCAGCCTAGTACATAGAAGTGTTACATATGTATTATACTTCTCTGTGAAATCAAGGGAGATGTAATGGACTCCACCACCATAAAGAATAGTTTTGTTTTCCTTATTTATTATAAAGGGACTACAAACGCATTTCATTGTGTTGTAAATAAACCATGATGAGTATAACAGAATTGGAGACTCAATGATTGATGTTTCTTGCGAAAATTAGCCCTGTGAATTGCAATCTTATATTATGCCTTGCATTTTCTAGTCTTTTAATTTTTGTATCAAACAAAAAGTACATTTTCTAACATGTTTGGTTATTGTTTGCCTTAGAAAGAGCTCAAATGTTGAATCACTCACAGTAGAACTTCACCATCAAAAAGGTAGTGTGTGTGTAGCCTACTACTCGTGCATGAGATGGGAGTGGCAGAATATTTTTGTTATAGAAAAACATAACAAATAGGTTTTTGGCCAATGTGCTGAATAGTGCTACTAGTGGTAAAAGCTTTTAATAATGAAAGGTTCTGACTTTTTGACTTACCACAAAATAAGCTGCTTGAGATCTCCTGCAGAACAATGGGAAAACAAGTTGGTTAACATTAAGAAGTTAAAATAAAGTGTTTTTCATACTGCAACACTTTAAATGTTTTACCTTGCTCACAGACCTCTGTTCCGTCTAATGATGGTATTCTTATTCCAAACTGTAAAGCTATTTTAATATAGTCCATTGGTATTTGCAGTAACGCTGCCATGGACTTTGAGAAATACGTCACAGCTGCATCCACGAGGCCACTCACAGAACTTATCAAATTCCCAGAGAGAGGGACACTTGACAGTATATTTATGAATGTTTGCTGGAAACCGTTTAATGCTGCTGTTGTTGTTTCCCCCATCCTGATGTAGGCCCCCATGAAGCTGTTTGACTCTCCGTCGCTGCTCAGAGGAGAGCATGTCTGGGATCTGAGGGACGACACAAACGTCAGCAAGGGCTTCCCCAACTCCAGAGTCACGGTCTTTGTTAGTTCTGCCTGGAGGCCACAATCCGTTTTCCCCGACAGTAGACACACTAACATATTGGGAAGATCATCCATGAACTTTTCTCCCAGCAGGGGTTGAAATATAGAAAATAAGTTACTCAGAGCTCCATAATATGCATTAAGGTCAAAACCCTCTCCCATTAAAGAGACCCCGAGGCGGCGGGCGTTTGCATTTTCACTGGACAAAGAGTGAATTTGATTAATAACTTTCCGGATGTCTTCCTCTAATTTGGTGTCTTCATCAGGTGTCTGGTCGGACTGTCTTTGTATTAATTTGGGTTGTGAAAACACCTGCTGGACATCACATATGATCCCTGTAGATTTTAAGAAGCAAAGAAAAGACAAAAAAAATTGTTTGAGCCGATACGCTTTTGTATTGTGAAAATGTGCGACATCAAGAATCAATGATTGAAAACTCAGATACACCAATTTATCTAATTTACTTTCTGTTAAAAGGCTCAGAAAAAAGAAAAAAAAACATTCTTGACTTGAGCAAAAATAAAAACATTTACCAGACATTTACTATGTACATTGTGAGGGTGTAAGAATTTTCAGTCTTACACAAGAACATATTCTCATTTGTGTTAATAAAGCTATATTAACAATTCATACTAATAATTTAAACTTTTTCATTATTAATATCACCTAATTTTGCCCTCAGATGAAACATTTTCTATTGTCTTTTTTTTTTTTACAGAAAAAAACCAGTAATCTTTCTGAAATGTAATGTACTTACCAAACAGGATGCCCAGCATGCATGCAGCTGGTGTCGACCACATTGTAATAGTTCTCATGCAAAAAGTGCAAGCAGGCGTCCAGTCCAGATTATAAATGGTAAAAACAACAACTTTGCTTTATCCTGTAGAGATCTTCAAGTGAGGAAGAACCAGATTGAGAAAAGGCTTCATGTTGGTAAACTATACAGAGTCGTCGCTCATCCTTCGAACTTCATCTTTTCCCAGCAGGCCACTGTGCTCTCTGGAGCTCCTCACCTCTGCTTCTACCTGCAACTCTACCCCTGCTCTGAAACGGCGTAATTAAGGACACCGGTAAAGGGAAAAAGGTAGGTGCGAAATGAGGGCTGTGAAATGCAGAAGGGATTTCAGCAAGAAGCCTGGCCATCGGTGCTGAATTATTAATGGAGTGTGTTGATTAAGTCGTGCATCTGAAACCCGAGCCCTGTCAGAGGAGCGAGAAGACGCCGGGCTGACAGCTGGAGGATTTTAAAGACATTACATCTGCTGCAAAATACCACTGCGGACTACAGCTCCCAATGATGGTGGTCCTTCAGACGGTCAAAGAGCATTTGGTCTAGGTCACTCAAACAAAAATATTTTTGAACAACAACCCTGTTAAAAAGTATACATAATCGTACCAAATCAACTGAACTACAAGGTAGTCACTTATTTTTAAATGGGCTCCTACATAATGATGTATTTTAAAGGTTTCCTATATTGCCATAGTCTTCAAATGGAAAACTCATTCAAGTTTTAATAAATCACATTTAAACATTACATTAAAATCCCTTAAATCTACAATTTAGAGATTAAACAAGATCATCTAAATCACAGAGTCCAATTAAAATACACCAACAATCTAATATCAAATAGTTAAATAATTGAAAGAAAGTTAATGGAAGAAGTTAAGATAAAAGGCTAATCTGGAAAAGGGTATAATTATAAACTATTTCTATGTGGACTAGTTATTTGGCCATTATGAAGTGAATATAAACAAGGCACTATGAAGCCTCTGAAACGCAAAGTGAACAATTAGCGACATTAAAATAAAAAATAACTAAACTTTTGTGGGCCTTTTAATGCTACTACAATTCATATAGTGGTGCCATCTCTGTTGGCAAAAAATGAGGAAATCCATCTCTTAATAAGCATAGTTGCTGCAACAGGACCCCACACTTAAACCATTGTGAATTAATGAATTGTCCCCTATATTCAGACAGTTAAGAGAAATAAAAACAAAGAGCATGCAAGAGGTTTTTAACTTTAAAACTTTCTTTCAAATTCAATGTAACTGTATATACACTTTACAATAGCATAAAGCCTGACGGCGTACAAAGATGTCTTAAAACATTTTAAATACATCTTCAGCACAAATAGCAATTGTTGCACGTAAAATGGCTTAACAGGTATTGGAAGAAAAAAAAAATCATTAACACAATTGCTCTTTTCTGCAGAAAAAGTGCCATGATTAAAATTTAATTTAGGACTTTCCCACAAAGCAAGCGGTTTTCTCTACATGCTAAGTTTAACAGTTCAGTGACATTGCGCTAAACTAAACATACAGATATTTGTAAGAAAAAAAGAAAACACTCCATCTGATGTAAAGTTAAATCTTCATTAATACATTTAAAAAGTAGATAGGACATGCCTTTTGAAATAAAAAATACAAAAGATTTTCCTTACTTTAAGGATGTTTTTTAAACATGAAGCTGCATGTATTGTACAACACTCAGTGTACAATAAACTGGTAATGCACGTTCAAATGAGCCGAGTGAGAAGTATCAAACGGCCCCCTCCCCCCCATCCTGCACACACAGGGTCTCACGGAGGGGACGACATCGCACTCTCTACGCGAGGCTTGCATTCTGAAAGATAGCAGTCAGGATAGTGAGAGCTGAGGAGGGGGGGGGGGCTAACTTTAGGGGACTTCAAGACATGTTTTCCTCTTCCTGCGTATTGTTCTCGCCTCCTCTGCAACGTGTGAACGGCAGAGCCATGCTGCCATCCCTTGTTCTAGTTGATGAGGGGTGAAGAAAACAAGGATTTCGGAAATACACTTAAGACTTCACCCCATGTACAATTTACATTCATAGTCCGGAGATGTTTACTCACGCAAACACCATTGTGCCCTGTAACAAATGTTACTTCAGTACAAACTAATTCTGATTTCTGGAGAAGGAAAAGCAAAAAAGGTGGAGGAAGGCGAATAATGGACAGATGGAAACCATCTGTGAGCAGAAGCTGCTCTCAGTGAGGGCTCAGTACGATCCCCCGGTAAATGTTCTCTGGGGGGTGTGGTGGGGAGCGGGGATAATCACAGTACACAACAAATACAGCACACTGAAAATAACAGGGGAGGGGGGGTCGAGTGTCTGCAGAACTTTGAGGTCTGATTGTCTCTTTACTATCTGGGGGGGGGGGGTATAATGGAGGAATCGTATGGCACTGTACAGTTAACCAATCCAAACACTCACATCTGCTTTAACGTAAAAAAGGTTCAACAATGCATGCCAATTTGTCACAGAAATTCAAGTTAACTCGAGTGTTTGGGCAATGTCCGTCATGTTGGGCTTTCCATCGTTACCTCCGAGTAAGGATGCCAACAAAACATCTGCATGTCAGAATACCGTTTGTCTCAATATTAAATAAATAAAGTTGAGAAACAGAGTGTCTGAGTGTCCAGGCTGATGTCAGGCAGAAACACATTCATATACCGTAGTTACCATTCTTAAACACAATGCTTTAAACTGCACTAACCAGAAAACTATAAAAAGGGAACTTAAAAAGTACAAAGTAAAAAAATGAAACATCTGGAGGAACAGCCAAGGAAGCTGTTGAACAGTATGTTGCTGGTACAGCGTCCGGCCTTAGATATGAACAGACTTTCTGACACATAGAGATGTGCTACATTAGTCATAATGCTTCTGCAAACACATTACAACTAAAAGAAACCGAGCTCTGATTTTAGCCAGAAAACTTGATTAGGAGAAAAATACAATACTGGTTATAGACAAATCAAATACTATTATCAAAGAAAGGTTAACGCTGATCATTTTGAAAATGAATGCCCTCAAACCTTTACAATATGTCAGATTTACAGGTAAGTAGATTCTTAATCCTAACATTTAATTAAAGAGCCTTGTTGTGACCACAGTGGAGCCAACACATTGATTTAAGCCTCTATTTGTTAAAAGAGAACAAACTATACTTAAAAGTCCATTTAGTTAGACTATGCAGTGGACTGTCATTAATATGCACCCATGTTCTCCTAATAGAAAAAAAGGCTTACAATTAAAAACGTACACAACCCCTTTTAAAACATCATATCTTACAAACAGAAGTAAAACACTTTGAAACGCTATCTTTTTTTTTTTTTAAAACAATGAAACACCAGTTTTACCAGAAAAAACTGCAACCAACAATAGAAACTTGACTCAGCTACGGAGGAATGCATATGATTTTAAAGGCTACAGATCGTAGGTTTGTCAAACACCAAGTCAGTGTGTGTGGCCCGGAGTAAACATACACACATGCGCAGATTGATTTTCAGGCCAGTCATTCCTGCTGAAAATGAGTGTGGTTATTTGTCAGCGTCAACAGCGTGAGCACCAGTGGGTTGGTTTGGGTTCAAGGACTCGGGCCGGGGGGAGTTCCTCTTTACCAAGTGGCTTTTTTAAATCCACTAAACCAGCACCAAGACCTCAGAGTTTAGTGGAGGAGAGATCAGCTCCACAGCTGCAGTCAGTCAAAAGAGGAAATAGCCTCGGCTTGTTCATAGCATGTGTAATTTCATCTATACTTTTAGAAAATGTCCCCCGGACCTTTAAAAAGGTTCCTCTTTTCTCAAGTTTAAAAAAAAAGCAACAGTGGATTTAAAAACGGAAAAAATGCAAAAAAAAATCTTAACAGTTATGGCAATGTTGTAGTTTGTAATCCAAAGAAGGCATTTGTACACGCACGTTGTTTTCAGTCTTTTTTTGGTGTCCCGTTGTGAGAGACTGGTCGGATCAGTCTGGGGGCAACAAGTCGTGAAGCCGGAACCTCTCTCGGACGTGCGGACGCACATCTTCGTTCTGAAGGATCACAGGGGAGAGGACCGTGAAAGGAGAAGAATAAAGAACAACTTAGATTCACTGACATGGTCAAATATGACTGATGTAGATAGCGATCAGTAGGACATCTTACCATCTCCACCAACTTCTCCAGGAAGGGCACCAGCTTCAGCAGCTCGTTGTCGTTCTTATCCATGAACCAGCTCTCTATGGGAATCCCATTGGACAGCTGACAGGATCAAGAGAA